TTTTTTTTTTTTTTTTTTGAAAAAGTAAATCCTAGTAAAATAAAATCAGAATTGATATAGTGGTTTAAGATTACTAAAAATAAACTCATTTTTTGGTAACAACTTTGGAGACAAAATGGATTTGGAAACATTCAGACTATATTTATGTTAATTAATTATAGTTAGGCTTAGTTTGGCATGCTTTAATTAAGAAATGGGTTAAAGGTACTCACACCCTCTCAACTCTTACCATGTTAATAAGTGACCTATGCTTGGAAAATTTTTCTTCTTCTTTCTTTTCATGGAGATTTGTAAGGTAGTTCGGGACTACCATGCCAAATTTCATTTCAACTAATTATGATTAGTCATATTAACAAATGTAAATTTAAAGTTTTAAACTTTCACATTCTTGAATAAATGAGCTCTAGCAAAGTAAAATTACTTTATCGGAACCAAAATTGATAGATGATCCGACACCACCAAAAACCGATTTGTTTCTCATAGTAGACTTGGGGAAGTGAGCATTCAGACCATGTTTATGTTAATTAATCTCAATTAGGCTTAGTTTGGCATGCTTTGATTAAGTGTACCTAGTCAAAACTTGCCTAACACCTTAATACCTACCACCATGTCTGGTTTAGGGTTGAGCTACACATAGGGAGTGTGATTCATTAGTTTAGACTTAGAATAATCCCATAATGTCTGTTTTAAAGTTTTTTTTTGTCATTAATCAATAATGTAGTTGATTATGAAGAACATGCTTGAAAAAAGAAAAGCAAAACGCAAGATTTTAGGACGACCTATATATCTTGTCCACCTCAATCATACTCCTTTTTTTCAGGATTTAAATCAAAGCTTGAAGTTGAAGTTTATAGTTCACTGTATCAACCACCATATCCAAAAAGATACAGTCAATTTGATCAATAATTTGTGTGCCTCAGTTTTCAATGAAAGAACCTTTCATTGTGCAAATTTAATACAGTAATGGACCACGCACCAGAGGTTTAAGAAGAAGCAATTAGATTGATATGCGTTTGTGTGCTGTTTGGTCGCAGATTCTTTTACGAGTCCGATTTAATTCACACAATTTTTAATTGGTCCAAAATAGTGGAAATTTACAAAACAATTGTAGGTAGGGTCAATGAATTTTTTTGGTAGATGGATGGACTGTTTTGGACCAATGGAAAGTTTGTGCATTTTTCAGTTTTAAACATGCAATTACTAAATTTTAGGAAAAAGTTTTGGATGCCCCTACAATAATACTATGTGACATTTTCATGTGGTCTCCTCGTTAATTATAAATTGTCATATGATATATTATTAAATAAAATATTAATATAAATGTGATGGCTTGTGTTAGCCAATCACAGGTATGTTTAGTGTTAATGTATTATATTAATTATATGTATTATATTAATGTATTATAATAACGTATATATTATATTAACATATCATATATATTATATTAACACAGCTGTATCATACTAATATATTAATATATTATATATAGCTATAGGATGCTAGGATGCCAGAGCATGCCTTCGCTTTCGGCTGCTTTCGGCTGCTTTATAGTATTTTATGTTCTGCTTTCATAATGATGTTGTATACAACAGCTCTTATATATGGAGTCTCTTCTTACACTTTCAGATATATTGAATACAAGAGTTTTCTTACTCTCTCAATATCACTCTCTTATTTCTTTCATTTAGCATGAACTTTTTGAGCTAAACCAATTACAAAAAAGTAAAATAAGTTAAAAAATTAATAAGATAAAATATCAGATCTAAATCATAATCATTTTATTTTTTCTCTCATAAAAGTCCAGAAATTCATCCTAAATGAAACTTTTTAACTCCAACCTAAAATAGTCAGACTTTTTAACTCCAACCTAAAATAGTCAAAAAACTAAAAAGTCAACCCACATCCCAACCGAAAACTAAAAAAGCTACATCTTAATAATAATGGCGATGTTAAAATTATGTGTTAAATATAACACAAAGTGGTAAAATAAAACCCATTGTTACTACATATCTTAAAATGTGTATTAATATTTAATCTGAAATCACAAAAATAAATAAATAAATAAAAATTTGACTGCTACAAATTGGGATTAGGCCTCGTTTAAGAATAGACTATTTTAGTAATTTTTTGATTTTTTGACTAAAATATGAGGTAAAAAAAACTTGTAGGTTTGTAATGACTTTTTAACTTTTTACGAAAGTATAGAGAAAAAAGAATTTTTGACTTTTTAGTATAGGTTATAAACTTTTTACTCCCTCCATCTCAAAATATTAGTCTTTTATTTCATTTTTTATTGTCTCAAAATATTAGTCTCTTTTCAAAAATCAAATACAAAAATAATATAAATTTTTTATTTTGTCATACTTTTAAATTTATTAACAATATCAAAAGTATAATTATGACATTGATATTCTATAAAAAATATATTATCAAAAGATAATTTTTAAAAATCAATTTTTTAAAAGTGTAATAATAATACTATCAAAAAGAGTTAGATTCTCCCAAAAAAAAAAAAAAAAATCATTTTAAAAAAAAAAAAAAAAAAAAAAATCATTATTTTGGAATGAATGAAATAATATTTTTAATAATTTTTTAATTTTTAAATTAAAACTACTACTTCCGAAACGAGCCCCAAGTTACAACCACTAATCTATCAAGGAAAGAAAAGAAAAGGCTAAAAAAAAAAAAAAATCCTGCAAATTTAGTTTAAAGAAGTGAGTGGGACTCGGTTAAATCACACACCAGTATTGCCGCTTTTGACAGTCACATTTATTGGCCACCTCAACTATCCACATCTTTTCTCTCTCTCTCTCTCTCTCTCTCTCTCTCTCTCATCCATGAATCATATGATTTCAATGGCAGTAGCACCCGTGAAGGGCATGGGCATGAGCATGAGCTGCACCCAAACTCCTCTCTTTTTTCTTTTTCTTTTTTCTCAAGAAATTTTGTAGAATGAAAATCAACGTGCAAAGAAAAAAAGGAGAAATCCTACGAGGATATATAGTTCAATATCACAACGGGTAATTTTTTAACTGGTGTGACTTCTCTCCAGTTTTACTTAGATAGAGTCAGGGACGGAATTAGATTTTTGTTTTTCAGAAAATCAAAATTTGAATAAAAATATAAGTAATGTTAGAGATTCATAATTTACCCACAATTATATAACAATGAATTAGGCATTATATGGTTGAATTTGTAACCACCCAAAAAATATATATATATAATCTGCAATCAAGAGATAAGTCCAAAACAAAAAAGAAAAAAAAAACTTAAAATTAAAAGAAGGAAGAAAATAAAAAATATAAGAATAAAAAAAATTACAAAAGACAAAAGAAAGAGAAGAGCACATGAATTACTTTAAAGTAAAAAAACAGAGTAAAGAAGTGTTGGAAGTCAATACATATCATCACATACAAAATAGCAGTAAAAAAAAGAAGCACACACAGATGAATGAGGATCCTCTCCTTGCAACTCCCATCCTTACGCCCGTCCTTGCAGGCCTTCGGGTCTAGTTTTAGGCCCAATTTTGATAATCCGAACCGTTCATATTTTATGATTTATTCAGTATATCATACCTGTAAAAAATCAAGTTGATCGGATATCAGAAAGCATGTGTTCGGAAAACTGTTTATTAAATTCTTTAAAAAATAGTTTTTAGTTCAATTTTTCGAACACATGCTTTCTGATATCCGATCAACTTGATTTTTTACAGGTATGATATACTGAATAAATTATAAAATATGAACGGTTCGAATTATCAAAATTAGGCCTAAAAGTAGACTCGAAGACCTGCAAGGACGGACACAAGTACGAGGCTGCAAGGAGAAAACCTTGGCTCCAGACAGATAGTCAAGCCAAAAACGGCGGGTCACGCCCCTTAGAGTCTCCACATAAATCCGTCCTACATAGAGCATAATTAATATGAAATTATAAGTAGTTCTAAATTTGAATCGTCATGAAATAACGAAGTTTTCATCCATTTATTTTTAACTTTTAAGCTCCTCTCGTCCAATTCTCTCTTATTAGATTCCTTTAATCACACCTAATGAAAATTACTATGATTCACAATCTCTCGTATATATTTTTTTTCTAACAAAAAAATAATATGACTAATAGCTCAAATTTTATTGTTCATTCATCCTTGAAACAAACTTATGCTGTTATATATTAAAATGAAAAAAATACATCCGACTAGAAACACCCTTAAAGAAAATAAAAATTATAAATAAAAATAAAAATAAAAAACAGCCAAACAAACAAACTTGACATCACTTTTTTTTTTAATTCATAAAACCAACATAATTAGACGGATATGATCCAAGTTCAAACTTCTATAAAATTGATAAGAAAGACAATTCAACTTGAATCCTCCTAATATATTTTATTGGTCAATTAAAAAAATTAAGTGACTAATTTATGTAAATGTCACTTTTTAAGTAAATTGTATAAATATTGGATCAACGGTTCCGATGTGCTAAAAGAAAGATGCATGTAATTATCAATCATACATTATTATTACTATTTCCCTAAAATGTCCCAATCTCATAATATAACCTCCTGTCCCACTTCAAGGTCCAAACTAAAACAACCAAAACCAGGGAAAAAACAAAACGTCCATCTCTTCTACTGGAAGCACAAAGCAGCTAAAAGCCAAATCTCCAGTCAATTCATATCATATAAAGAAACATAGCATGGCTCATTCACACAAAAAGTCCTCCCATTATAAATCATATTATGTAGTGCCAATCATTTCAATTACCACATAACATGTCCTAAATTATAATGTAACCAACTTTAAATTAACACAATATGATTAAATCATAACTTTTACACATATTATATCATATCTTAATGCATATTATAAATGTTGGTATGAGAAAGAAAAAATTTTTAAAATGCATTTAAAAATTCCCATTTAGAGGCACCCCATACATAAATTTAAGGACCAAAAGGCAAAGCTCTATCTTTGAGGCCAATAGTTTCTCACTGTGTCATACTAGTGAAGAAGAAAAAAGAGAGACAAATTAGTTGATAACAAGCATTGCATACACGTCCATCTTTTAAAAGGATATTCGGATACACATGAGTTACAATCCCCATCACAACCGTTTTAGAATGTGGAATGTGTAGAAAGGCCAAAATGCAACCAACCCTACATGGAATAAAAACTTACTTAAGGCTTTGTTTGGCTGAAAGAGGATCTAAAAAGTCACTTCCATTTACGAAAAATGGTAAGTGGGCATATTCCCTTTACACCACCATCCCCCCCAAAAGAAGGGGAAAAAAATACCCATATCTTATCATTTTCCTCTTCTTTTGCCCCACCCACCTTCAAAATTGTTACAAACCAAACCTACTAATGTTAAACCACACCCCCCCCCCTCCCCAAAAAAAAATAAAAAATAATAGTAATAATATATAATTTAGCTTCTAAATTAGTTTGAGTTATCGTTAGAACTCTCTAGGATCAGTAAAAATGGACACGTCAGGTGGTGACTTGGTCCAGTCACCAACAGACGCGTCAGTGTAGTCTTCCCGAAGCCTCTTGATGCACCATAGATCCTCGGCGCATGATAGCGCCTTCCAGTGCGGAATCCCTAACCTGAGCGGCTCGTGACTCGACACCTCCGTTGCCACCACTCCACACCCACACTCTTTAGCCAAATTATGTGCGAACCCACACAGGGCCTTAAGGTACTTGACCGCTAATGGGCCTGACCCACCCAGCCCGTACAAGAAGTGAAGCCCAAAGGGCCGAAAGACTTCTGGGACCGATGGCAATTGTAGCCAGGGCAAGGCCCGATCCACCAAGCGCGTCGTCTTCGCCAAGCCTTTCCTGACGCGCGACGCGCCACGGACCTCCAGTCTGAACACGTCCTTGCAGTTCCACACACTGAGTACGGCCCACGACTCGGGCGGGTTACCCAGGAAGCGGTCCGAACCAGGCCAGGAGTAGGACCCGTGTGGAACAGCGATGAAGGTGCCGAGATTGAGCTTGTTGTTGAGGACTGAGTCAATGTCCCTTGGGAAGAACTCGGTGGTGGAGAATCGGCGGCGATAGAGGGACTCAGCGTCGGAGGGAGCGAGTTTGAGGATGGTGACTCGGTTACTGAGCCGGACACGGTGGGCGAATACGGGGTGGACCAGGATTGATGGAGTACGGAACTTAGAGTAGCCGCATTTATCGGTGAAGAGCTTGACGGAAGGTTGGTTGTCGTTTTCAGTAGCGATGTACGAATACTCGGCACCACTTTCTCTGAACCACTCCTCCATTCTTCTCACCATCTTCAACCCTATTCCCATTCGCCTGCAATTTCAAAATTCAAAAAACTATCATTAATGGGTTTACTCAATTCAATTACCCAGCAAAGCAAAGCAACATTCTCGATCATGATTGCCTGCCTGTGAGAAGGAGAGACGCGGAGGCCTAAAATGTAAGCGAGTTTGGTGTAAACAGGAAGATGTTTCCTGGGACCGTTGCCGTTTTTTCCACTTCTGGAGAGCTTTTTTCCACACGTAACGGTTTTTATGCAGCCCCTTATCATGCCTACTATTTCTCTCTCCTCTTTATCTTCATTACCCACCATCACCGTCTCAGCTACCTGATCAACATCAAATACATACATATATATATATAATTAGTATGAAAACAAAGAAACCCAACTACTACACTGCTCCACGCAAACGCAATATATGTAAGACAGAGTGTGTTATCGTACCAGCATGAGATAGGCAGGGAAATTGCGAACCCTGCAAGTTGGATCACCCAAGATGTCGGTGAAGAGAGAGAGCTTCCCGCTCGGTCCAACCTCACACCTCGTCTCTACCTCCTCCACTCCTCTGCAATCTTTTTCTGCGTCAAACTCTCTCACCACCAACACCACCCTAACTCCCTCTTCTACCATTTTTTTCCCGAATACGAACATATGTTAACTATCAAAACGGACCCAAATTCAGAAACACTTTGTTCACGAAGAGATTCAGACTAGTTGTTATAAATAGCAGAGGAAGAGCATAAAAGAGGGGTTAAAATTTAAATTGTAAGTGTGGTAGGTGTGGTAGGTAGATGTAAGTGTGTTAGGTGAGAGTTGAGTGTGGTAGGTGAGTATGTTTTTCTCTTTTATATATAGGAGAGTGTATACATTTAAGATAACATTTAATAAAATCAATACATAATACATTCTCTCTATTTCTCTATACATCAATTTTAACATGGTATCAGAGCAAGGTTGAGAACCTAGTATTTTCGCTTCACCGGCGGGTGGCAGCCTCGCCTTGGCCGCCCGCCGGACCTCTCATCCCTTCTCTCTCTCTCTTTCTATCACATGGAGGACGTTAGGTGAGAGTTGAGTGTGGTAGGTGAGTATGTTTTTCTCTTTTATATATAGGAGAGTCATTGTATACATTTAAGATAACATTCAATACATTCAATACATAATTCAGGCAAACCCTATGCCTCTCCTGTTGCTTCCGTGCCAACGGCTCTCCTCCGCCGAACGAGAGGTCATGGCTGGTACGAGCCTCGTCGATGCGGATCAGGTCGTCGGAGATTAAGGACAAGTGCAAGCACCTGATCAGCCGGATCGGCCGCCACCACCAGCACCAGAGGCACTTCTCGTCCGCGGTGGACTTCAGGTACGATCCACTCAGTTACTCTCTCAATTTCGACGAAGGTTTTGACGACCTCGACGAGGCTCCACTCCGGAGCTTCTCCGCCAGGCCGGTTCCGGTGTCGCCGCCGCCGTTGAAGACGGTGTCGGAGACCGACGACCTCGTGAAGCCGAGGGAGATCACCTGCGTTTAGTTTATTGATCGATTTGCCTCTGACCATCTATTATATATATATATAGGCTTCGTTTGGGAAGTTGTTATTTTAGTAGGCTATTTTAGTTTTTAGCTATTTTAATAGGCTAAAATTTTTGTGTTTGGGAAGATGATTGGATTGTTTTATGGTTTGATGTGATGTTTATGAGAGAAAAAGTAAAATGATTATGGGTTTGATGTGATATTTTATCTTATTAGCTATTTTAGCCTATTTTGTCTTTTTTGTGAATTTTACCCTAAATTAGGCTATTTTTTTTCTTCCCAAACACCCCCATAATATATAATAGATTGTATTCTTCCTGCAAACTCCTCATCATTCCCACTACCCCCACTTTACCTTTATTTATTTTATTTTATCTTCCTGCAAACTCCTCATCATTCCCACTACCCCCACTTTACCTTTATTTATTTTATTTTATCTTCCCTTTTTCATTCCAAAAAAAAAAATCAAAACCAAAACCAAAACCAAAACCACGTGAACCACTTTCCTTATTTTCCCAATCTCCTCCGTTTGATTTCAAAATCACTTATTTTTCTTTATTTTCTCTAAACCACTTTTAATCTCTTTCAAATACCCACTCTACAATAATATATCTTTTGCAGGGGCACTACCCCCAACTTTATTTTGAAACATCCATGTTCCCTTCGTCATCCACCTCACACCGATCTTTCTCAACTAACCCATCCAAAAATATTTTTTTTTATCTATTTTTTATTTTATTTTATTTTTATTTTTATTATTAAACAAAACACCAACACACAATAACACCAAAAACATTCCACAAACTTGTCATTTCTTCATGCCGGGGATCAACCCCGATCCCAATTTTACACAAAAAAAAAAAAAAAAAAACCCAAAAACCCAAAAACAAAAAAAAAAAAAAAACACAAAAAAAACACCAAACAAACAAACCAACAAAAACAAAACAACCACATCCACCGGCGGGATTTTTCTTTTTCTCTACTCTGCCGCCGGTCTCTTCTTCTTGCATATGTCCTGGGCGGCCCTTGACGGTGCTGCCTCTGAGTTTCCCACTCCACTGGGCACGTTCACTCCCCCCTGCTCCTCCACTGCAGCATATGGTGGACCTCCAAATCGGAACATAATGGTGGCCTTCCGCTTCAGCTCCTTATTTTCCGCTTTTAGCACACATATCTCTGCTCGCGCATCCTTATACATGCACTGGAGCAGAGCCAGTTGGACGTTTAACTGCTGCACCTCATTTGTCCTACTCTGAAGCCGGTGCGACAAGTTTGTGACTGCCGTCATCGTCTCCACACATGACTTCAATGTATACTGATTGGCCTCAATATCTGATTGCGCTGCCATTATTTGCTCCACAGACCGCATAGGAAAGGTCAACGGAGCAAACCCAGGGGCGCTTGGTTGAGGTTCAAGGGCAACCGCACCAGTTATTTCTCTTGTGGACTCGTTGAGGTCTGGAAAGAGAGTGAGCAGACCACGGGAAGAAGAGGCCATGTTATGGGTTGCTGAGTGTTTCAGGGTTTGCAGCTCTTAGAGCAACGCTCTCAGAGAACGAAGAGGTTTCAACTGGTTTGCTCTGCTTCCAAGCCTCAGGCTTCGCTTTGGTTTATATAGATAATGCCGAAGAGGACGACACGACACTCTGTCGGACACGTGCATCGCCGCGTGTCCGGCGCCCCTTTTGATGGCTCGCCGCTCGACGATTTCTGTTGGGCACGCCTTTTGATATATTAGGCACGCCTTTTGATGGCACGCCTTTTGATAGATTGGGCACAACTTTTCAGGGCTCGATATATATATACATGTATATCTTTTGGGCAGCCTATATACACAATCATCCGGTTAGCTTCTACAACGGTCCGGCATGACCCCATAAACTGTCCCGACATTAATTCCGGTTAGCTCTTACCAACGGTCTGACACGACCATACAGTGTCTACTATCCTCTTTTATTTTATTTGTCATTTTATTTTCCTATTTTGTTATTCTTTCCAAACTCAAGTTGGTTAGTATCTATCCTCCTTGAGTTTGAGGGGGACTGTAAGTGTGGTAGGTGTGGTAGGTAGATGTAAGTGTGTTAGGTGAGAGTTGAGTGTGGTAGGTGAGTATGTTTTTCTCTTTTATATATAGGAGAGTCATTGTATACATTTAAGATAACATTCAATAAAATCAATACATTCAATACATAATTCATTCTCTCTATTTCTCTATACATCAATTTTAACATAAATTGCACTTCTTTCAAAGCCGCGAGGTATATAAGATGTATTTGAAGCAAAAGCAAAAATCTTTCAAGATTCAGAAGAGAGACAGAAACAGAGACAGAGCAGATCGCAGAGACACTAAAGAAAGAGGTGCCGTTAATGGTGCTTTCCTTTTCTTAGGGTAGTGAGTAGTTTCGTCATAGCTGCAGAGGCTCAAGTTGTGGTGCGGCCTTTAAATACCCGATTTTTGGGCTTTTCCTCTCTCACCTCTCTTGAATCCCTACCTCTCTCTCTACCTTCTTTCTTCTCTCTAAATTTTTTATTTTTATTTTTATTTTTATTTTATAAATCTTACTAAGTATTGGTTTGGGATGTGACTTTTTTTTAATTTTTTAATTATTTTAATTTAAGACTAAAAAAGTTTATTTAAAATAAATATTTTAATTTTTATGAAAAAAAAAATAAAATAATTATAAATTAAATGTAATATTTTATTCTATTTCATTAAAATATTATATTTTATCCTAAATGATTTTTTTAACCCAAGCTAAGAGCATCTCCAACAGTAGTAGGCATTTTACCTATCTAAATATTACTATAAAGTATATATTTTATTTTGCCTATCAACTGTTTTATGTTTTTACTCCAACCATGCTCTTTATTTTAGCTGTTTATCCAAATACTATTAATTTTATAGAATGCCACGTCAACAACAAAGATGGAGGGAAATGATCCTAATGATTGAATACATTTTGCCTAGTTTTTTAATTAACTATATTAAATAAAAAATTCTAACAAGAAAATATTTGTAATTTTTCAAATCACAGGAATAATTTGTAATTTTAATAAATCTCAAAAGATATATTTATAATTTACCCTTTTAATTGTCAAAACTAATCTTCTTAAAATTTATCAAAATTATTTTTACTTCATAAGTTACAATAAAAAATGAAATGTTTATAATATATATTTTTACGAGTTTATGTCTGTGAAACTTATTCTTACCATTTATGAAATAAAAATAATTTAAATATACTAAAAAGTTAAGGGCAAATTATAATTAAAAAAAACCTCTAGAATTTGACTCACATAATAAAATAAACTCTAAATTTTTAATTTTTTCAATTTAAACGTAAAAGTTTTGATTTATTTTAAATCTAAACTATTTATTTAGTTTTGTTAAGTAAAATTAATGAAAAAATTAAATATTTTAGTCATTAAACTCGTAAAAAATATTATTTTTGACATTTTATATATATTTACATTGAATTTAATGATTAAAATTTTTTTTTTCGTAGATTTTACTTAACGAAAATTGACAAATGATTTAGATAGAAAGTAAATTAAAAATTTTAAATTTAAATTGACAAAATTAAAAATAAAGGCCTTGTTTGGTTTGTTTTTGAAAAAAAAAATTGAAAAAAATTTTCTACAAACAAATTTTCAAGTGTAATCAAACCAAACAAATTTTTTTAAAAAAAATCTCAAAATTTTGTTTGGTTACCTACTTTTTAAAATCACTCTCTCTCATTCACATCAAATCAATCACTTTGTTAAAACTCTCTTTCCAAAACAATTTTCCAAAATCATTTTTCAAAAAAGACAAATCAAACAAGTTTTCGTACTTTTTATTTCAAAAACTACTCTATAAACACAAATCAAACATACCCAAAGAGTTTATTTTGTTATAAGACACACATTTTGAGTTTTTTTTTTTGTAATTATTCCAAAAATTAATTATTCAAAAACACATTTTGAGTTTTTTTTTTTTTTTTGTAATTATCCCAAAAATTAATTATTCAAAATTAGCAAAAGAATATTTTCATTTCTATTTTTTTATTATCAATTTTTTTGAAAAAATACTTTTAATTTAATTAGTATATTATATAATATTACACTGCTTTTTAAAATTTCTCTTTCCACCCCTTCCACTTTTACACCCATTCCTCTCTCCAGGAAGGATAATAATTTATACTATATATTAAGCAAAAGAGGGTTTTTAATCCCAAGCCTTGTGGGAGCTCCAATCTCCCAATCTAAATTTCTTG